TTCTAAATATATATTCCAAAAACACTCTATAAAAAACATTTTAAAAATGTCGACCAAGCAATTGAAAAATACCAAATGTGTATAAAAAATGTTTATGATGTATACAAAAAATGTATAAAAAAACATGATCATGTATTTAAAAAATAATATTCTAGCATTTGATTTTTTTTCAAAAAGTATTCGAAAAATGTTGATCAAGCATTTGAAAAATGTTAAATGTGTATAAATTTTTTTTCATCATGTATAAAAAAATGATGAAATGCTTTTATCATGTATATAAAAATGTTAATAAAGCATTTCAAAAAAATTTGAGTAAGTAATTTAAAAATGCTAAATATGTGTAGAAAAAATGTTGCTCATGTATTAAAAAAGACGAATATTTTTATCTTGTATATGGAAATGTTAATCAAACATTTGAAAAAAAAATTGAACAATTATTTGTAAAATGTTGATCAACCATTTCACAAATGTTAAATGTGTATAGAAAAAGTGTTGACCATGTATTAAAAAAATATGATTTTTTATTATGTACATAAAAAAATTTATTCAAGCATTTTAAAAAATGTTGAACAAGTATTTGAAAAATGTTAAAAAAAGTATAGAAAGAATGTTGACCATGTGTTAAAAAAAATCTTTATCAATCATCTAAAAAATATTTAAAATGTGTATAAAAATCTTGACCATGTATTAAAAGAATGTTAAATTTGTATTGAAAAAATGTTAGACATACGGTAGAAAATTGTTGTTGACATATACAGATAATTGTATAAATGAAAAACAAAAGAACCAAGAAAACCAAAAATGAAAAAAATAAACCAAAGAAAAACGGAATAAAAAACTAAAGGAAAATTAAATAATCGGGGAAGAAAAAAGGAAAAAAATAGAAAAGAAACAAAAGAAAACAAAAAAGGGAAAATCTGGAGAAAATCGGCTCGACTTGCTTCAAGTAGGTCGCGCCGCCTCTACTTAACACGAACAGTCGGCTGGCGCAATGGTTAGCAGCGTTCGCTATCTTCCTGATCCCTCATTCTCCCCTTTTTCTTCTATTTTTATTAACTGTGCGCGAAATAGGCCAGCCCGACTACTGTAGCTGCTTCAGCGAGACATCCTGCAGGTTCCCTAAAGGCGAGATAAAGTCGTCGTGGATTCAATGTTTCGCTCATGGAGTCACCCGGGCTCTGGATGGGCTGGTTGACATCGTTCCTCTGGGCTTCTAGCCTGTGGGGGTTATTATCTCCGAGTTGGAGCCTGATGGGTCCAACCAGAGAGCCCACGCCTCGGCCCCCTTGTTGTTGGGGCGAGGCTTCTTCGCCGTCTCTCTTCCTTTCTTCCCGGCTGTAAGTGCCATCGAAACCAGTGACCAACATTCATTTGTTGTGCTTCTCTGTGCAGGTGTCTATTCATTCTTCTAGCAGGAAGAAGAAGAGTGATTTAACGCTAAAAACGAACAATGTTGCTTAATGAGCATGAGGATCGTATATATATGATTGATGTTGAACCACTTTCATATTTATACCCATATTGCAACAGGAAATTACCTAGTTAACTAAGAAATCCATCGAACATGTTGAGGCTGAGTAATTTCCTTCTAGCCTGTTAGCTAGTCCTACTGTTCCCAAATACCCCAACCCAATCAGTCCACGTTCCCAACAAAGCAAAAGCCCATAAACCGATCGCTACCTCCATGCCATGGGAAATCGATGTTTGCTCTCAAGCAAATTCATTCTACTAGGTTCATGCGGCATGCTGTGGGCCACACGCTTTCACCCTCCTTTTGCATTGTTTGTCGTTCGGTAAACCACTCCATAGACTGACGGTAGTAAACCATTTTGGGAACAAAGCAAATGAAAGCCAAATCTAACAAATAAGCTTTATCAACCCAAGACGGAGATGGGAGGGTAATTCGGTTAGCCTTTCACTTTGTTATTCGAAGAAAAAGATGTATAGGAATAACCTCCATGCATATGGTAAGTACATGTAAGTAAGAGATTCATACATAATGATTTAATCTTTGGGCAGAGACAGATCAAACATGAAACTAAACAAACATATCCATGGCGATAACATAACTTAATGCCTTACGTACAATAACACAGCGGACAGAAGCAGACTAAGGCATAGCCTAGTGGTGGGAAGGGGATGATGCCTTCTCACCCACCTAGGTTCAAGGCATGGTACTTGCAATTTGGGTTTGTTGCACCAATTATACCGTATGGGCGCGGACAGAAATTCACATTTCATTACAGATGCATGTCATGAGAACTTTAATCTATGTTAATCGTGATCTCATTTAGTTATGTGAAAACTGATTTGCCTTGCATACAAGATTTTTATATGTCCTGTCTAATGAGTCGATGCCTTTTTGAACCAGTAATAAATTTTAATTTCTATCAGTTAATCTCGGTATCATGACTATACCAGCATTCATGTGCATCACTATTCTACCAATGAATGCATTACTACTATATTGATAATTTCTTATCTTTTTATGCTCACTCTCTCTTTTTCCCGAGACATGCTCATTGGATTTGTAGTCCAGAAGAGGCGGGGATTTGTTTTTTGTTGTGCATTGCATTCGTGCATACAATTTTGGGGTCAATTTAAACTTTCAATTAAACTTAGATGAATTTGACCATATTAGAAATTTGGGTATGACCTTTGCGTAATTTTAGAGTTTTGTATCACAATTCAAATAAGTATATGACTTAAGGACTAAAGTGCAAAGTGCAATTATATATCAGCTGGAAATTGGATTAAATAAATAAAACAATGATGAATAAGAAATACACAATTCAATTATATAGTTCCATAATACAAAGGTTTAGAACATCTTGTAATTTCAAACGGTGGGAGTACTTATTTGTTTTCTTTTTTGAACGAAGCTACTAATATTTGGTAGAGAATATAGTTTATAGCAATGCAAGACATTGTGTGTGTGTGTGTGTGTGTGTGCGTGTGTGTGTGTGCGTGCGTGTGTGTGTGTGTGTGTGATGGGTACCCGCATGCATGGCGACATTTAGTGATAGGCCATGTACCTGGTCCCGCAACTAGTCATGATAGAGAATTGCTATCTCTATTGTAGCTTTTTCAGGTTAGAATTTCAGCTGTCGATAATCCCACTCTCTTGATGTATCTTGCATTTTAAGAGAGAAAAGGCATTAGAATTGCATCGTAAAGTGAAAAACATAACATTAAAAAGGGGTAAATAACACTAGAAAATAATGATGCAAAATGGACATATAGACTACCATCGAACCGTGAGAATCACCTAGCAGGACCTGCATGGTTTGCCACTATCGGAGCTAAATCCGGCAGATCCCTCGGTAGGGTATCCTAAGCTAGGTGTCTTGGCATGATTGATGGTAACATGGACATAGAGTTTACCCAGGTTCAGGATCTCCCGAGGAGATAAGACTTTACGTCATGCTTGTGTTCTATTGCATTGGGTGTGTACAGAGTACAAGGTACTGAGAAATTTGTAAGTTGATCTCCGTCTATGAGCCTAGACCCCAGTTTGTATAGTATACCAGGGACCCTAGGTTACATGGATCCTAGTTATCTATGTATTAGGAGGTAGAATCCTCCATGCATCCAGCGTCTTGTACACGACAACTAGGCTGGGAGTTGACATGGTGAGAGGCCCCTTAGCCGGGACACCGTCACACGCCACCTCGCCGGACGACACTCCGTCAGGAGGGAGGAGGGGAGTGGAAGACGCTCCGTCGTGCCGCCTAGAACCGTTGCATGACCAGAGACACTTTGCCGTTGTGGGAGGCCACACGAACTACCACGGATCTCTGGGGAAGTTGCCATGTGAGCGCGAGAGGGCACTTTGCCCGTTGCCCTTCGCAGCACATGCTACACTCGACCACCTTGTCCGACAGAGGTGAAGGGGTGGCACCGGGGGAGGGGAGACGAGTGCTAGCGGCGAGGGTTCATGAAATGCCTTACTCGGAGGGATCTAGGGTTTCTGCTCCTGAGCTTAAATGCTCCTCTATGTATAAAATAAAAAATATTCTAAATTTTTTGGAGCAAATATTGTTGAATGTTCTACATACCCGCAAATTTCCATGAATAAAATATACTCCTGGTGCTGAGGGATAAAAATAAATAAAATTGATGCTCCAAAAAGACTATTTTTACAACATATTGAAGTGTTGACTTTGTTATTTTTGCCCATAACCTCCACAAATTTGATTTTATCACAAAACATTTGCATGCAAGAAGTAAACTAAGCAATGTTTGTCATAAGAAAATGTCAGACTTCTTTGACTTTTTTATTCTTTATTTTGCTATCCATATAAAGGAGCATTTGAGCTCAAGATTAGAAGGGCATTTTTGTATTCGGAGTGTCTTTTTCAGTCGTGGCAACACATGAGGGTAGTTGATAGTATTGATTACTCCCTCCATAGTTTATCTAAGGCGAAGGCGAAATTACGAAATCTCTATAGGGGGGAAGTTGGATGAAGATTTGGGATATTCGGAATAACCTATTCAGAAAAGGAAAAGTAAAAAAAAAAAGAACAACAGTTGTTCTCTCAATAGTGGATCTCAAATCAGCACTTGCATGGTCATTTTGCACATTTCCAAAGTAAATATTGTGTAACACAGTGAAATGAAAAACAAAAGCTTAAGTTAATTTTTGGGGGGGGTATTAAAAGAGATTTTGCAGCTAGTTTGAAATTTCCATTTGGTTCTACATTGGAGCCTAGCTATAGGCCTCTACTTTATAGCATGCAAGGCATATTTTTATTTAGGTTTTTAGGATATTTTTTATTTATGCAGAAGACATTTTTTCAGACAAAGAATACAGTTTTTTTATTTTAGAATAAAGAAGACAATTTTGTTGTTGTGTGTAATGGGTTTATTTTTTGAGGTGTGTGTGTGTGTGTAATGGGTCCATGTAGTGATAGGCCCCGCAACTAGTTTACAACACAACATTTCCTTCCTCCTTTGCTCTCTCTGCTCCGGTCCCGACGACGGCGGAACGGAGGCACCGGATGGCGGGCAAGGGCGAAGCCGCGTCGCCTTGGGGCTGCTGTGCTCCACGGCCGGCATCGGCATGGCCTCTCCTCCGTCGCTGGAGCTGGAAGCAAGCGTCGCAGGCTCAGGTCAGCTTCCCACTCGCATGCCCACCATGTGCTTGTGCTTATGCTTATGCCCACCATGTGCCTGTCATAGCACAAACTACTCTAGATTGGACGGATGCAGCTGCCATCCAACTTATCATCCTGAGGACTAGTCCTGCATGCTAACAAATAAGTATGTTGGGACGGAGCTCATGTGCGATGCCGGCGCCTCTAGCTTTGCTCTCAGCCCAGCACAAGAAAAAGGTCCGGGCCAGACTGCCCATTCCATCCCATGCTGCTCTACTGTACCAACACGTCAGCTTGCTTGCGTTAGCCCAAACTACACACACTCTGCAAGTCTGCATCATCAGCCAGGTTTTCTTTTCACAAGAAAAAATAATTTGGCCAGACTTCTCAAACCAACATAACTTCAGGACTCTCTCACGACTCAGCCCAACTCAACCCCCCTTTTGCAGCTAGCAAAGATCAGGCAGGCGGCAGCGGCATCCATCACCGGCGAACCATCAAGGTATGTACTAGTGCACACTCCTCTCCTTTAATTTGCAGCTACCAACAGCCTGTTTACCATCGATTTCCTTTTGATTCCTTGATGCAGGCGCCCTTGTCCATCCCTGCATCCGGCCACGGGATGGCCGAGACCGCCCTCGGCGCCGCACAATGGGTGGTGAGCAAGGCGCTAGCCCCCTTCGCGGATGGCGTGCTGGAGGCTTGGGCGGCCACCAGGACATTTGGCCTCAACATCCAGGCCCTCAAAACTGAACTGGAGAAGGTGCAGGCCACGCTTGAAATAGCCGCCACCAAGGAGCTCCCCGGGCTGGCCACGGAGAAGATGCTGCAGAAGTTGTGGGACTCGGCGCACAATGCCGAGGACTTGCTGGACGAGCTGGACTACTTCCGCATCCACGACGAGCTCCACGGCACGTACGACGCTGCCGACCAGCACGGCGACGATGCCCTCCGCGACCTCGCCTTTGATGCTCGCCACACCATCAAAGCTCTTGGCAAACTGGTCAACTGTTTCCCATGGCAGCGTGCTGAGCTCCAGCAGAGGCCAACCAGCATCATCCAGGAGTTCAGCGGATGCATGCCCAGCCTCGGTAAACTGCTCCTTTCCTCATGTTCCCCACATCCACATGTTCGTGGTGATGAAGATCGTGGCATTGCGCAAGAAACACCGATGCCTGAGTTTAACAGGGCTGATTTCTCCCAAAGGATGAAGGACACTGTAGAGCAACTAAAGCTTATGCGTATTGATGTTAAGGATATTCTGCAGACTTGTGGCCACAGAACTGTCCTAGACATTTCCCAGCGTCGTGCCACCACCACACCTCAGAGTGCAGAGCCAAAACTGTATGGGAGGGACCATGTCATGAATAATATCATACATGATATCACCGAGGGTCAATACTGTGACAAGGGTCTAACCGTGCTTCCGGTTATTGGTCCGGGGGGAATGGGGAAGACAACCATGATACAACACATATATAACAACCAACAAGCGCAGAATCATTTTCCAGTCAGGATTTGGATATGTGTGTCGTTCAATTTCAACCTGGATAAGGTGCTGGAGCAGATTAAAGAAGATACCCTTGCGGTTGAAGGTGAGAATGGGTGTAGCACAACACAAGAGCTGATTGAACACAGATTGAAACACAAAAGGTTCTTACTTGTATTGGATGATATATGGCAGTTTACTGATGTGGATGACTGGAAAAAACTATTGTTGATACTCGGCAAGTCACAAGAGAAGGGTTCCGTGATTCTAGTCACAACTCGGCAAAAAGAAATAGCAGACCAGGTTAAGAAAAGTGCAGAGCCAAAAGAACTGAACGGTTTAGAACCTGGAGAGTTTAAGAAGTTATTCCTTGTATATGTCTTTGATGTTGAGCAATGTCCAGGGGATAAACGTTTTTTGCTTGACACTGGAGATAAGATAATGGGAAAACTGAAGGGCTCCCCTCTTGCAGCAAAGACCGTTGGTAGATTACTGAGGACAGACCCTAGTTTGGCTCATTGGAAAAGGGTCCTAAATAGCAAACAATGGGCGAAACAGTCCAATGGAATTATGCTTGCCTTGGAGCTTAGCTATGGCTTTCTCCCTTTCCATTTGCAACGGTGTTTTTCCTATTCTGCATTATTTCCTGAAGATTACCGTTTCAGAAGCCGTGAGCTCATCAGCCTATGGATCGGACTAGATATTTTGACACCTTCTGATCAAAACCCAACCTTTGAAGGCATAGGTCTGAGCATTTTGAATGATCTAGTCATCCATGGATTTTTCAGAGAATATAAAACTGATGGTGGTCTGCGGTATGTTATGCATGACCTACTGCATGAGTTGGCATTGAAGGTTGCATCACATGACTGTCTTCGTCTTCGTCTCCCTGATGTTGGATCGGTAGAAATTAAGCCATCCACCCGACACTTGTCTATAAGCATAGAGAACTTGGGTGGATATAATGGTCAAAAATTAAAGAGGGAATTGGAAAAACTGAAGACAAGATTGAAGGTTGAACATTTGCAAACACTGATGTTATTTGGAGCAATGGATGAAGGTTCTGCTAAGATATTTGGTGATTTTCTCGGGGAAGCAAATGCTCTTCGTGTTCTTTATTTGCCCCTCCTGAAGTATCCCGTGGAGTCCATGGTACATAATTTTTCAGGACTTGTCCACCTACGATTCCTATGTCTAGGGTGTTTACCAATTAACATCTCTAAATTTTATCATCTAAGGGTTCTAGATCTTAAGTCATGGTCTAGCAGTGGTGATTTTCCTGAAGACACAAGCAACCTTGCAAAATTGTGCCATTATTATACCCCAAGAGATGATAAGCTTCATTATGATATTTGTAATGTGGGAAAAATTCAGCTCTTGGAAAAGTTGAAGGTATTTCGGGTCAATAAAAAAAATGAAGGATTTGAACCAAAGCAACTAGAGCCACTGACCAAGCTATGGGAGCTTGGCATCTACAACCTTGAGAAAATACATACAAAAAAAGAAGCAGCTCAAGCAAAACTGATTGAGAAGAAATACTTGAGGAGGTTAACATTGGATTGGGATAGTAAGCGATCTAGTGATGAGCCTGGTGTGGAAGCAATGGTTCTTGAGTGCCTTCGACCACATGAAAATCTTGAAGTGTTGTGCATTAGAGGGCACAGAGGCCCCACTTGTCCAAGATGGCTGGGTGATGAGCTTGCTGTTGAAGCTCTACAATTTCTTCGTCTTGATGGTGTTTCTTGGAAGGTTTTCCCTTCTTTACGGAACATGGGGGATCTTTGTGAGCTTGAGATACAAGATTGTCCAGAATTCTCGTCTGTGATTCCCACCTCCTGGATTGAGAGTTTGCGTCGCGTCTCGATTGAAGGTGTCAAGCTACTAAAGAGGTTTGCATACTCAAAATCATCACATGGAGCACAACTGGAAATCATTGGATGGGGTGATCTGCAAAGGTTAGACCAAGTGTTAGTTTTCGATAAAGAAACAGGTCTTGAGAAGCTGACACTCGAGAGATGCCCACCTTTGGAGTTGAAGCACCTTCTGATGCTAACCTCGCTGAAGACACTGATTTTAAAGCATTCAGCTGGTCTGGCTGGTCTGGCTGGACTACTAGGAGGTCAGGGTGATGTGGAATGGCAGCTCCCTGTTGAGCACATCGAGATCTGCCACTTACATGGTAATAGTTGGAATGAATTGACAGAGCTCTTCCCACACCTCCCAAAGCTCTCCAAATTGGAGATACGGGATTGTAAAAACATAAAACAGCTGGTAGTGGGGGTGGATCTGCGACAAACAACACCAGAGATGGGGGGAGGTGAAATAACAGCAGCAACGGAGGAAGAGGACGATGGAGTACTGCTCTTCCCAGCTCATCTCTGTAACTCACTACAGAAATTGAAGTTATTTTCATGCCCAGAGCTGGTCCTGGTGGACCCGCCAACTCTTGTTCCTGGAGGAGGATGGCTCCAAGCCTTGCGATCCCTCCAGAGATTAAGCATAAAGTATTGCCCAAAGTTTCTATCCGCCTTCTCGTTTTCCACTCACATTTTCCCTTCCTCCCTGCAATTCCTGGAGCTTACGAAACTAGAAGGGATGGGGACACTAGAGCCTCTCTCAAACCTTTCTTCTCTTACCAGATTAGTATTGGAATTTTGTGGAAAGAACCTGAAATGTCAGGGACTGCGGTCTCTCCTTACCACCGGCGGCCAGCTCAAGGAATTGGATGTCAGGGGCAGCCATGGATTCTTTGCTAATTGGGATCCAAATCCCAGACGGGCTTTGGAGGATGTTGAAGGAGGACAAGAGCAGCCAACACAGCTTGTTTCATCCACGCTGCGGAAGCTTTGCACAGACGACGCAGCTGGACTCCTTGCTGCACCCATCTGCAGCTTCCTTTCTTCCTCTCTCACCAAGCTGAAACTTCATGGGTATGAGCCTGAAGGGATGGAGCGCTTGAGCAAGGAGCAAGAGGACGCCCTTCAGCTCCTCTCCTCCCTCCAGAAACTTGAGTTTAGGCATTTCCACCATCTTCAGCAAATCCCTGCAGGGTTGTGCAACCTTACCAGCCTCAAGATGTTATCAATCAACCACTGTCCTGCCGTCTCGTCATTGCCCAGCGATGGCCTCCCCAAGTCACTGGAAAAGCTAGATGTCTATGACTGCAGCGAGGTGCTAAAACGCCAGTGCAGGTGGATGTTGGGAACGATCCCCAAAACCATAAGAGGATGATCCAAGGTAACAAACACATACTTTCTCGTGTTCTTCCATGTTGCCCTTTTCCTGCGACCCTGCTTAATAACACTGCAATTATTCCCATCCAATGAGCAGGACAATGCCTTGGAGTTCCCTTGTACATTCTTCTAGCCATGTAGTGCTCTGCTCTTTCCATACATACACACTTGCCACATGCATGACATGAGGGTCTTGTGGACGCTGTCTTCCTTCCTGTACAAATTATCTGGTGAGTTTCGAGCATGGCTCCTGCTGTACCATATTATTTATATCCACTTCCAGTTATACTCGCCGCAAAAAGTTAAAATGAAATCCACTTATACTTCAGATTTTCATTTTCTTCTCAACAACAGTGAAAGTATTTCAGATTTGTTTGTCAACGCCCCTTATCTTTCCACAATGCGAGAAACCAACGTCACTAGCAGCTAATACCTTCTGCAAGTCTCTTTTCTTTTCTACCTAGATGTAATTACCAACGTAACTCACTTGTTTTGGTTCTCTGTGCAGGTGTTCGTTTGATCTCGTAGGCTTCTTCATATTTGCATTTTAAATTTGGGTTATTGTTATTCATCAAGACTCGGTAGTCTACTTGCATAATTTGGGTTTCACAATCAGAATTATGGAATAAATGAGAATATGAGTGAAGAACTGAAGGAACTCATATTAAGGTTATAAAATGTTTTCATCCACTGCAATGTTATTGTCAATACCAGGTGTTGATGCATTCTAATTTCTGATGGCTTGCTGTTCAGGTGTTCTTGTGCTTCTGATGGATGTCTGAAGCTTGTCCCCTGGTAACGTCGCTCAGACTGACTTAAATTGCTGCATGGTTTGTATTTTCCTTCATTCAGGACAATGTATTGCAAAGTATTCAGACTCTGGCCGGCAGAACCATGCCAAGCACTTACACATTTTGTTTACTGAACCTTTGCCAGCCAACATAACATGGAATGGAAGGTACCCTACCCTGCCTGCTGGCAAAATGTTCAGCTTGTCCTTGAGCCAGTTTATCCCATAATCATGGTGGTATTCAAGGAGTGCCACACTCGTACTCGATGGCTCCAGCAATGTGTGCACCTGAAACACTGCAGAACATTGATTCATGTGAGGTAAATAGGCCCAAGTGATCTTCAACTCTGCAAGATAGTTATGCATGAACTGACATCAAAATATTTCAGAATTGGCTTGCAAGAAGTCCATGGAGTAGGAGTTATGCAGATCTATAGAGATGCAGTATGCTTGCTGGAGCCATGCTAAGGAAGAAGTAGAGTGACACATTGGCTAGCATAGCAGAAGCGTAGCCTGCAGCTTGGTACGTATGTGATCGCAGCTTGGTACGTCGCCCGGAACTAAATTTCCATGATGATTGAGCACATCAATTACTCAATGTGTGCACTACAGATGGTTAGCATTTTGTTCATTCGGTATTAGTAATATGGCAAATTTATTCTGACCCTAGCCGGCAGAACCGTGCCAAAGTAATAATACTCGCATTTCTTCCTTATCGACGCAGTCATAATAAT